AGGAAGGAGTAACAAAATATTTTATACAATTCATCCAGGAGGAGGAAGGAGTAACAAAATATCTATTATACACGTCATCCAGGAGGAGGAAGGAGTAACAAAATATCTATTATACACGTCATCCAGGAGGAGGAAGGCATAAAAAAATACCTATTAAAAACGTCATCCAGGAGGAGGAAGGAGTAACAAAATATCTATTATACACGTCATCCAGGAGAAGGAAGGAGTAACAAAATACCTACTATACACGTCATCCAGAAGGAGGAAGGAGTAACAAAATATTTAAAATATTCTATACACGTTATCAAGGATAAGGAAGGAGTAACAAAATATCTATTATACACATCATCCAGGAGGAGGAAGGAGTAACAAAATATCTATTATACACATCATCCAGGAGGAGGAAGGAGTAACAAAATATCTATTATACACGTCATCCAGGAGGAGGAAGGAGTAATAAAATACCTATTATACACGTCATCCAGGAGGAGGAAGGCATAACAAAATACCTATTACACACGTCATCCAGGAGGAGGAAGGCATAACAAAATACCTATTATACACGTCATCCAGGAGGAGGAAGGAGTAACAAAATACCTATTACACGCGTCATCCAGGAGAAGGAAGGAGTAACAAAATATCTATTATACGCATCATCCAGGAGAAGGAAGGAGTAACAAAATATCTATTATACGCATCATCCAGGAGGAGGAAGGAATAACAAAATATCTATTACACGTCATCCAGGAGAAGGAAGGAGTAACAAAATATCTATTATACATGTCATTCAGGAGGAGGAAGGAATAGCAAAAACCTATTACACACGTCATCCAGAAGGAGGAAGGCATAACAAAATACCTATTATACGCGTCATCCAGGAGGAGGAAGGAGTAACAAAATATCTATTATACAAGTCATCCAGGAGGAGGAAGGAGTAACAAAATATCTATTACACGTCATCCAGGAGGAGAAAGGAGTAACAAAATATCTATTATACACGTCATCCTGGAGAAGGAAGGAGTAACAAAATATCTATTATACATGTCATCCTGGAGAAGGAAGAAGTAACAAAATATCTGGCCAAGTGAAACAATATACCATTCACCAACAACAAAGCTAGGGAACTTGGAGATGGTAGCTCAATTCACTGATAGTTATGAAATCAGAGATCTTGCCAACTGATCGGCAGATACTAAGTAGTTATGAAACCAGAGACCTTGCCAACTGATTGGCAGATACTAAGTAGTTATGAAGCTAGAGACCTTGCCAACTGATTGGCAGATACTAAGTAGTTATGAAACCAGAGACCTTGCCAACTGATTGGCAGATACTAAGTAGTTATGAAACCAGAGACCTTGCCAACTGATTGGCAGATACTAAGTAGTTATGAAACCAGAGACCTTGCCAACTGATTGGCAGATACTAAGTAGTTATGAAACCAGAGACCTTGCCAACTGATTGGTAGATGCTAAGTAGTTATGAAACCAGAGACCTTGCCAACTGATTGGCAGATGCTAAGTGTAACATTCTGCATGTGCTTCACATAATCGCCCTTCAGTGGATGTGAACAGTTTCCACCTCTACATAAAAAGATGTTGCAATGTAGAGGAACGTTTTCCGTAATATTTGTCTAGAATTTAAAAACTGAAACATTCTTACATCCCACCCATTTCACACTTTACTATCAACCTTAACAGACTTGTTAAATAACAGCTTAATTAAAAACTTACCTCCAAGATTTGGTGATGCGTAGATGCCCCCAGGCCAATCAGTTTGGACAGAAAACTGGCAATGAAGGTAGCGCTTGTGGCAGTACATGATCAAAGAGGATCCTTTCGGTGCATATCCATACTGTTTTATAAATAATAGTTAATTCTACAACTTAACATTGAAAGTAAAATAGAATGTAGAACAATATGTCAACCATACTATATCTGCCACATCCCAAGCTGATGAGACCCTACACACAATAATAGGGCTCATCAAGCTACTTGGAATACAACAGAAATAGTAGTGGTCTAGACCAGTGGTTCCCAATAAAATTTAAATATAAACAGATATATACAGTTACGAGTTTAAAGATATTTATAGTTAAACAAGTGTAGTTTCATGTTAAAATCTGAAGTCATTCTCAAAAGAAAAAAATTGTAATTTAGATTTATTTCAATTTTCTTTTAGTGGTTATGAGGTCAGTCAAATTGACCAACCTCATACAGAATTAGGGTAAAAAAGATAAAATATAGTTTTACTGAACTATAAAGTTGAAATTTATTTAGGGCATTTTAGAGATTACACGAAGGAAATTTAAGATTTTTCAGATGAAGAAAAGTATTTTTAATCTTAATGTGAAAATCATTTTGTATTTTAAACAGTCAACATTGACTCCATATATAAATGTAGAAATTTTTGGTGAAATTACTTGATTAACAATTCTGATTTTTTTGTCTACAAAAGACTGAAGGTTTGAAAAATTTCATGAAAATACAGAAACATATTAGTTATAGTATGGAAACAAAAGGTCAATTTGGGGCCAATTTTTAATTCGATTCAACCAAGCCCATAATGAGAAAGTTAAGTAAATATAATTATTAATCATTCTAATTAAGTCATTTTCAAATCAGGTTTGTGGTAAAGATTAATAACGCAATATCTATTTTTAACACTATTATTATTTTTACATGCAAGCTTGTATTTCTATAGTAGGTCTAGCAACCACAGAAGAAACGATGGTAATTCTACAAACTCATGTGATAATACATCAAACACACTACAAATATGAGAAACAGATGTAGTAATATATTTTTGGAGTTACGTGTATATATTGTACATGTTAGGCTAATATATGGTGACGATTTTAAATGTTTCTTTTTATTCTGTACATTGTAATAATTTTATTTTTCTAGAAGGCTTAAGATTTCTAAAAACTTTAGCAACAGCAATATTCTCATTAGACATTAGTACCCCCCCCCCAAAAAAAATTAATAAAACTTGTGTTGTGGTAAAGCATTAGTGCCCCAAAATGAAACTTGTGTAATGCCCTTGACAACCACACCCAAGATCTGTTTCAAGTTACTTTTCACTTGCATGTTTATGGCTTATCTAAGAAACTTTTAATGTGATTTCTTATGGATTATGAAAAACTAAATAAGTATCAGAGGATTCTTTTGTTTAAATTTCCAATCTTTATTGGATCATAAGTGAGTTTGAACTTTCACATAATCCAACTGTACAATGGTTTTGCATACTTTGTAAAGGTCATAAATTAATCTTATGAGTCCTTACATATTTCAACAAGTATCTTCAAAAGTTCATGATTAAACTCAAAACTAGATGAGTTTTATAATGGACTTCACCCAAACAAGCTAAGAGATTATCTGGGGGTAGGTAGGGGATCTTTTAAAAACAACTGTACATAATTTTGAACAGTAAATTTTATAAATGAGATATAGTAATATAAATACTATATACTTGTATCAGTTTAACTTAGTGATCAAATCCATCCTGTAGAAGTAATGTTGACTGATTTTTTTATAAAGTATCTTCTTCAAATGCGACAAGCTTATAGTCAACAGTACAAGTCTGTTGTAGACAAAAAGCCAGGTGCATTACAAATGTTTTTGTACTAAAGATATTTCTATGAACCAACATCTCAGACAAGGTGATGTTCATATGAACAACAAACATACATACAGTTTGTAAATTACACTTACATAACCTCCTAAACACAGTTTTACAGTTTTTTCACCATTTGTCTACACTATATTATTTTCTCTACCTTAACACGAACTGTTGCAAATTCAGCAATGTAGGGTAGCATGAAATGTTGATAACTCTGAACCAAATGGATAATCCCATGCTGAATGGGGGTTCTGTACAGTGTTTTGGTTTGCACACTTTGACCCCCAACCATACACAAGGAGCTAAAGAAAATTCAAGATATTTTATTGTCAAATTCCTTTCAACAAAGTGGACTAGTTTGATGACGAGGAACCCACTTTGAGACTAATAATGGCTGGAGACGGCTTGAATGGGAACAAAGTGGACTAGTTTGATGACGAGGAACCCACTTTGAGACTAATAATGGCTGGAGACGGCTTGAATGGGTACAAAGTGGACTAGTTTGATGACGAGGAACCCACTTTGAGACTAATAATGGCTGGAGAC